GGCGGACGAGGGAGCGCTGTCATGTCGGATGGCTAGCGGTGAGGAGGAGGGGAGCCGCCCCGAGGACGAGCTGTGTCGGCCACCAGGCGTCTTTGTTGCCATGGCGCCGTGTGCGTCCGCACAGCTCGCACACCCCTAAGGCCGGCCCTGAGTGAAGGCTGGATGGTCGGCGGAGAGTGGAGAAGGAGCTCTGGTGCTGTTCTGCTGTTGGCTCCCTCCAGTGGCTGTAAGTGTGTGCAGAGAGTTGGATTGTGGATAAGGAGTTGGAGGAGGGTGATTTGGCTCCCCCTAGTGGCACATAAAGAACAGTGCGGCTGTTCAGTGTACTGTCTGCTCATATTAAAGAAAAAAAATAAAGAAATAAAGAAAATGACTAGAACTGGGACAAAAAAAAGAGACTGTCCAAGAGGCTGACAGTAGGGGGGGGGAACTATGCAATAACCCCCGTGAGCCGAAACAGTCCAGTAAAGAGAAGCAGAAAGAAGTAGCTTCAAGATTGGAAAAACAGGTACTAACGCCAATCAAATAAATAAAATGCGATAAGTCTCTCTGCAAAGTACCCGAGGTTGTGCTTGAGGAGGAAAGGGGGGGACTTTGGATAGATCTAATGGACAGCTATTTTTGCAAAATCCCAACGCCCCAGGTGACCCCACTCTTAAGGATGTGTTCTCAGCAGTCCAAGCCAGTAATACCACTCTGGCATCCATGGCGGAGCAAATACAAGCTACATGGATAAATATATCCTTTCTCAGGCAAGATATGCAAAAGTTTAGAGAGAGGCTGACGGAGGCAGAAGATAGAATTAATAAATTGGAAGATGTAAATACTGTGCCTATATTAAAATGGCGTTTCAAAAAGTTAATATTAATTCCTGTAAGATCGAAGAATTGGAAAATAGAGCAAGGCGCAATAAGATCAGAATGGTAGGAATGCCTGAACAGTCTGAGGGGTTAAATCCGGTGGCGTATATGGAAAATTGGATATTAGAGACAATAGGAAAAGAACATCTATCTCCTATGTTTAGGATTGAAAGAGCTTATAGAATTCCTGCACACACTCAGGTACATGGGAACCAAGGACTATGTTGTTCAAAGTGACCAATTACAGAGACAAGGAGGCATTTCTTCGGAAAGCTCGTGAATTGGGAGCTATATTTGTGGCAGGTGCGAGAGTGATGTTATTTTCAGACTTTTCACAGGAAGTTCAGAAAAAAAGGGCTCAATAAAAGGAAGTGAAAAACGAATGCGCCAGATGAAAATACAATATTCAATACTATATCTTGCAAAAATGCGTATAATTATTAATGAGAGGACTCTTCCTTTTTAACCTTCCTTAGCAGTTTCAGCCTGGCTGTATAAATACCCTGTGAGTGATATAAGAGGCTAGAAGCTATGAGGTATAATGTGGGGCATGAGGATAGAGTATATACTGACTATTAAACACACCACGTAGTGATCTGGAGTGTAAGATGAATGTTTGGGTGAAGTCAATGTCTCTAATCCCCTATATGGCTCCTGAGTGGAGTATATTTATGTGGGGGGTCATTGTAGTAATGGGTTGTTTTTTGTTTTTGCTTTTGTTATCGTGTTGTGCATTGCGGGTTTTTTATTTTTTCCTCTCTCTTTTTCTCTCAAATATCAAATATTTTCTTATATTGGAGGGATATGTCTAATTGTATGGTATCATAGTATATGGTAGTATGCTTTGTATATAAAAATCAAATTCAATGGATAAAAAAAGAAATAAATAATATATCAATAATATCTTGGAATGTTAGAGGGTTGGGGAATAAGACAAAGTGCTGTGCGGTAATATCCAGCATTATGTCTCATAAGCCGTCAATTATTTGTCTTCAGGAAACGCATTTGAGGGATAGTGTTGGATGGGTGGAACGCAGATTTTTGCAGTATACAGCTCATGCATGTTATTCTGCATACTATAGAGGGGTATCAATACTAGTCTGTAAAGGTATAGCTTTCTCATGTATACAAGTATTGTGTGATAAAGAGGGTAGATATGTATTTTTCCATTGTAAAATCTATGAAGTAGAATGCGTGCTGGTAAACATTTAGTAAAAATTCCTCCTCTCTACTCTAATAAGGTCCTCCGGAAGTTGTTATTATTTATTAAGGATAAGTTACCTATCTATGATATTGCAATGGGGGATTTTAATAACTATATGAATATGGCACTATGGCATGATTCTACTAAAAACACTTATTTTTATAATTTTTCTAAAGAAATAGGGTTATGGGATGTATGGTGGCGGAAGTTGCACCCAGAGGAACACCAATATACATGTTTTTCGAAGACACATAATACACTATCTAGGATAGATTTAATTTTCTGTTCAGTTGATGTAATACCATTAATTAAATCAGTTGAGATACAACCTAGATCACTTTCAGATCACTCACCAATAATTACTATAATTGAAACTGGGGGAAGTTTTTTTAGATTGCCTTGGAAATTATACCCGGGATGGTTAACTATATTGTCAGCACAGGAGAAGTTAGAAAGTGAGATATCAATATTTTTTAGCACAAATATTAATTCTACGTCACATGGGGTAGTATGGGATTCTTTAAAGGCATATATGAGGGGATATTTATGTCAGCATTGCATAAATTAACGCAGCTTTATATTGCATAAATTAACACAGCTTTATATTGTACATAGAACATACCGGACTCCTGAATTCTTACATAGGGTAGGACTCAGGGAAGATTCTAAATGTCCAAAGTGTGGGGTTGAACCTGGTTCGTTGATACATCTGTTGTGGCGGTGCCCGAAGTTGAAACGATATTGGCAGGAAATAGGGGATATGATAAATATAATCTTTGGAGTTCAAATTTCTAATAATCCCTTGTTATGTATTCTGGGTATTTTTGGATCCATAAAGGTGGAGCATTATACGAAGGTGGCAATACCGAGGGAATTATTTGTAGCTCGGCGTAGTATAGCCTTTAGGTGGATTTCAGCAACACCTCCCACAGTGGAGGAGTGGAAAAAAGAGATAGCTAAAGTGGTTGGTTTTGAGGGAATTATGTTCAAACATAGAGGTACTATGGATAAATATGGATACTATGGAACTATGGATAAATATGGTAAAATGTGGGATAAGTGGATTGAATATAGTAAAGGAGTTTGGTTACAATATCTCCCTTATTTGTTATTGGTATTTTGAGGAGTAATGTGTTTTTACTTATGGTATGATGAGAGGAAAATTACATTTTTTTTGTTTGTTTATTGTTTTGTTGTTGCTTTTGTATTGTTGTTTTAATATGTAATTATGAATGTAAAAGTGTGTTTTATGTACTGTACTATTAAAATAAAAAAAAATATTAAAGTAAAAAAAAAGAATATCCAGTACAGACCATCATCTCATCTCTCAATGTCAAGCTCTGTAAATGTTGTATATTTCAAACAAATAAAACACTTGTTTTCAACTTTGTTGCATCTCAGTGTTGCTGATCACATGCATCTGCTTTGTCTAAAGGTGCCCATACACTGTACGATTATCCTACGAGAATCGCGGGAAATCTCACGACCGTGCGATAATCGCAAAGTGTATAGGTGCCCATACACAGTATGATTATCGTACGATAATCGCGGGAAATCCCGCGATCGTACGATAATCGCAAAGTGTATGGAAGGCGTGCGACCGCTTCTACTGTATGGTCGCACGTCTTCTGTCGAACAAGCAGGCTGGAAAACCCAGCGAGAATCGTTCGATTCTCGGCGGGTTAGTGGCCTGCTTGTTCGACAACTGTCTAACGGGCCGGTTTGAGCACGTGCACACTGCACGTTTGCAGTCATCAGAAAGCCCGCCCCTCCTTGCAGTCATCAGAAGCCCGCCCTTCAGGGGGGAAGGCTTATGATGATCGCAAGTACGGTCTGCCTGTCCAAGATGGGCAGATCGTACGTTTTTTTAATTACTTTACAACCCTCACAAGACAAAAGTCTTGCAAGGGTTGTAAAGTGTATGGCCACCTCAAAAGCATGCACTCCAGCGGTAAAGTATATGCCTGTGTGTTGAAACAGCCACCTGTACTCTCCATTGGAAGTCCAGGTAACAGAAGTTATCGCCACTTGGCTTAGTTCTTGGCATGCTCTGTGCAATGTATATAGAAAATAAAACATTGATAGGAACATGGGGAAAAAGTTGTTGTTTTTTTTACTAGACTTTTGGTTTCACATCCTAGCAATTTTTTTATTGGTTATTGTGGCACTTTGGTTCCACATGAGGACTGGCTCCCACTATAGTGTTACTATAAAGTGCACCTGATGCACTACATGCTAGGTGCGCTGCATTGCCATTCATTGTGAATGGCACCCTAATGCACAATAATGAAATAGCCCTGAATGAATAAGTCACCATGAAGATGCCACCTTCCACAAATTACTTCCATTCATATCTCTGTGATGTGGGAGGACGAGTTCCTGCACAATATCCTGCATCACATGAAATTGCAAGTTACATTGTTAGGTGTACTATGGTGCCATTATTTCTTATATGTTGGTATGTCCGCCTTTTATCCCAGCCCAATGCACCACACATTAAACCTTTGTTGTGGTGTGAACGTGGCATGTGTCCTTGTGGTGACAGACACTGATCTGGTGCAGAAAGCTACCAATCGCCGCTGTATAAAGGAAGGGGCCCTTTTACACTATAGGTTATTACCGTGCGTTTCATGTACGCTATAGCACTGCACACCGAGCATTCAGTACCGGGTGCTAGGTTTGTTGCATTGTCATTCATTTGAATGGCACCCCCGGTGCACTACTATTTTTCAGTGCACAGCAACAATAGAGGTACAGCAACCCACGACCACTGACGGTACTGCATGCTAGATGCACTGTCATAGTGTTTGCTAAAAGCACGTGTTTAGCTTAACGTTAGGTGACATCTTACAAATATTGAACCAAATTTAGACCCTTCAGCACTTCTCGCCCGGAAACTTCTGCAGAAAGTGACGTCACATGCCACGGAAGCGGAAGCTTAGAAAGCCGGAAGCTTGTGTGGAAGTTGGCGGCACGTTGTATCGATCTTCTTATTCTCTACCACGGGGTCAGCTTGTGTAGGTGAGGAAGCCAAGGAGAAGAAGAATCTGAAAGACTTTACTACTCCCGATATACAAGACAAATCCGTGTCACCATGTCCCTGACTTGCTTCAGTGAGTATCCATTCAGTCAGCGTTGTAATATCCGATTTTGTTAAGCGTACACATAAACTTCGTGTATCCGTATACGGCTTCTCCCCTTCTTTGTTGCATGGGATTATTATTATTCTGTCAGGAGGAAGACATTGTAGTTTCAATGGCTGATATGTTTACCAGTATGATAAGTAATGGTGGGAGCTGGTATTGTTTGTTTTCTTGCCCAAGCTGAAGGTAGGTTTATAAAGAAATCTCCAAAGATAAAGTATTGGCCATGCAGCAGTTTATCTATTAAAATGTGACCATGTCAGGTGGTTAGAAATATGCAAATAACCATACCCTATGTGGAAAACAGCTCTATACTTACCGATCCATTGGCTAATAATGTCTTTGCTTTCTTTCTCAAGAAATAAATTGTCAAGATGCACATCCAATGCATGTTATTGTGACACCCATTACGTTATACAAGGAAGTGTACATATAGATACTTTTCTAAGGCTTTAAAGAACAACAACTATCAATGAACACACAAAAATATCCTTGCAGTGGGGCTACCTTCACATTGTAAGAGCTAACTGCTCATTTTTGTCTGTTGGGACTCTTTTTAAAGTATTTATTCTTGCCTGCTCTCTGCTCCCCTGGGCTACAAGACAGGCGTTTGCAGTCTCCTCTTCCCTTTCCTCCAGTGGTTAGAGGCCCCCTGACATCATGCCTAATGCAGTCTATAGCCCTATGTTGTATGTAAGAACATCGAGGGACATCCGGGAGAGAGGTGGGCAGCGGGGATCATAAAATAAAAATGCTTTAAAGCTGAAATCCAGGTATAACATTTTATGCATACTTATATTGGTCCAACTTGGCCCAGTGTAAGTGTGCGTATGTCACCTCTGAGCAGCCCATGGGATTCTGTAAAGTACTGTAGTTGATGGAGCTACTATAGTGTTGGCCATGATCTTCCAGGTCCTTTGCTGTGCTGAGTGGTTTCCCCTTTGCTCTGACAACACATGGAGTCACTTGCTCAGCACAGAGACCACTTGGATAACCCCTATTATTTTTATCAGTGAATACAAGGTGGGGTGGATTGTGATGCCACCACCCCATGTCCAATCATAGAATGCCTTGTATTAATTGATAAAAATATTAGGCATTTTCTGAGGGGCCGCTGTGTTAAGCAAGTGACTCCCTGTGCTTTCAGAGTGGACGCAGCTTAGTTCAGTGCCATTATAGGAAGATTGCTGTAGTAGCTCTGGATGCCACATTGCTTTACAGCCGTGGTTCTCAACTCATGGGTCGCGACCCAAAAGTGGGTCGCGAGCCCTTGAGCAGTGGGTCGCGGCGCCCTTCCTGCATGGAGCAGCCCATCTTCAGTAGGGAGACACAGAGAGGCACCCCAAACGCATCTCCTGTCCACAGTTTGATTGCCCGCATCGGAACGTGCGGTACCGCAATGCCGTGCGTTCCAATGCGGTGCGACGTGGGTCGCGACTTAATGACAAAGGACAAATGTGGGTCCTGAGGTTACACGGGTTGAGAACCACTGCTTTACAGGATCCCCATGAACTGCTCAAGTATGGAATATGTTTATTTTATATTGGGCTAAGCTGGACCAATGTAAGAATACATAAAGTTATACCCAGTGTTCTGCCTTAACTGCTTGAAGACCAGGTGTTTAGACCCCCTTCCTAGCCAGGCCATTTTTCAGTATTCAGCGCTGTGGTATTTTGACGTTTATTCCGTCATGCAACGCTGTATTGAAATGAATTTTATACCATTTTTTTGGGGGACACATAGAGCTTTCTTTTGGTGGTATTTAATCACCACTACGGGTTTTATTTTTTACTATAATTAGGAAAAATTACTGAACATTTTGAAAAAAAAAAAGTTTTTTTTGACATTATGTTAGGAAACATTTTATTATTACACAGTTTTTTGGTAAAATATAAAAGACCGGGTCACGTCGGGTAAATAGACACCAAACATGTCAAGCTTTAAAATTGCGCGCACCTGCGAAATCGCAGAAAACTACCATACCCAAAATTGGCCACAGACGACGCTTTAAAAGCTTTTACCGCTCATCAGTTTAGTGTTATCAGTTCATTTTTTTTCCTTTTTCCTTTTTTTTTTTTTCCCCCCACTAAACTTTATTGCTATCACATACACATAATATCACTGTGATTGCTATCACATACATAATAAAACCCCCCTATGTGATAGCAAAGTATGTGACAAGTCCTCTTTATGGAGACATCAGGGGTCTCCAAGACCCCTAATGTCACCTAGGACCCCCCAAAAGAAGCTGATGAAGCACAGATCTGAAGCTGGAGAGTGACACAAGAGGAGAGGGGACCGGAGGGTGTCTGAGCGGACATCTGAAGACGCCTGCTCAGATCTAGAGAGCTCCCGGCCAGCCGTTTTTTTTTTTTTTTTTTTTTTTTTTTTTTTTTTTTTTTTTACTACGGCCGGCCAGGAGGTAGTTAAAGAAACCCCATAAAAAAAATCATACAGTTAACACTTGCATTGAGAAAGGGATCTTGTTTTGGTATCCAGAGATGTTTTTAAGACTTCCACCTGATTGCAGCCAGCCTGGGCTCACAGTCAGCCCTAATCCAATGATTTTACTTCTCTGTATTGTGTGTGCTGAGGCACATTTATTCCTATGTGCGAGCCATACACCATGCCATGGGTGCAGCTACCCATAGAAATGAATGGGGCTTTGGCACAAAAGCACTGAATGGGGAGGGAGGAGCTGGCCAGGTCGATGTCTGCGGTAAGATCAATGGATACTTTGGGGGTTGTTTTGTTGGCAATAATGCTGCTTTAGATAGTGGGCTTTTTAGTTCTTGTTGGTTTTAGAGCTGCAGCTAACGATTATTTTCAAAATCGATTAGTTAGCCGATTATTAAGTTCGATTAATCGGTTAATCGGATAAAAAATAAAATACATTTTTAAAAATGGCTCCAGTGATGGGACTTCTAGTTTGTATTGAGATTGTAGTCCATCACAGGAGCAAGCTTGGAGCAGTAGAAGAAAAAGAAAAAAAAAAGTGTGGTGTACAATATAGTGAAATAAAAAGTGTAACATTATACAGCAATGAATGCAGAATACCACCAGCTATAGAGGAATACAATAAATCCCAGCAATAGTACATTATAGCTGGCGGTATTCTGCATTGCAATGTATAATGTACTATTGCTGGGTGTTGTAGTCCTCTATAGCTGGTGGTATTCGGCATTGCACCACTGTATAATGTATTATTGCTGGGATTTGTTGTACTCCTCTATAGCTGGTGGTATTCCTTGATTTGTAGTCCTCTATACAGTGCAATGCAGAATACCACCGCCTATGTAGGAGTACAACAAATCCCAGCAAAACATTATACATGCAGTGTACAATGTATTGCTGGGATTTGTATTCCTCTATAGCTGATGGTACATTGCTCTGTATAATATACAGCACAATGTACCATCAGCTATAGAGGAATACATATCCCAGCAATACATTATAGAGCGCCATGTGTGGGTGGGAGTGCAGGCTTACCCGAACAGTCTTCCAGCAACTTGTTTCTGAGATCGGGCCTGTCTATCGGCGGCTGTCATCCCCCCCACACCTGCTCCTCCTTACTTCTTCTCCCCGCGTCCCTGTGCCGATCGTGGATTTGGACGGGCGGTGAGCGTGAAGCGTGGAGGAGGTGCGGGAGCGTGGATTCGGGCAGGTCTGGCAGCGGCGAGCGTGAGGTGGGGAGGAGGTGTGGCGCGCAGCGTGTGTTGAGCCGTGAACAGGGCCAACCAATCAGAAGCCGATTAATCGATTATTGAAAAAGTTGACAACTTTTTCAATAATCGATTATAATCGATTATGTCGATTAGTTGTTGCAGCCCTAGTTGGTTTACCTCACCGATCAGTAAATTGGCTGTCCTAGGTACTTGCAGAGCCCTACTACATTATGTTTTCTATACTTTGCACTAAAAAGTCTAATAAAGTTTTTTTCTGCAAGTTTAAAAAAAAAGGGGGGGGGAGGGGGACTATAAGATTAGACTGTACTGTTGTGGGTTAGTGCTCTCAAAACTGTAATCTCTGTATATAATGTGTTTCTTTTTTTTTGCAGTCAGTAATGAGGTAACAGATCGTCCTTGCATTTCCCCTGTATCGGGTCATGTCTTTGATAGACGGCTTATTGAAAAGTATTTGGCTGAAAATGGCACAGATCCGGTCACAAATCAGCCTTTGAGCGAGGATCAGTTGATTGATATCAAAGGTCGGTAAATATTATTTATCTTTATAGCCTTCCTACATACAAATTGACAACATATACATTCTATCTTCCCCATAGGGAGCCATTTGTTCCATGTGTGTACTAATCAATACCACTAAAACATACTCCCTTCTTAGTGACTCAGCCTTAAAACCCACCAGAAAGTCACTGGAAAAATTGCAGGACATAATTGAAACTCAGTCTGCTGATATAAAACGATGTTGAATTATATTCAAAATCATATTCATATAATGTTCTAGGCACATACCATTTGCATTACGTCCCTTTATACATTTTCATTGTGCTATATATACAGCCATGCACTGCATTAATCAGCTGCATTCCCTTCTGCTATAAGCTCATGAACATGGAAGCACTCTGTACTGAACACATCCATGTTTCGTGTTATGAAGTGCAGGGCTACAGAGGTGAAGGAGATTTATGATTCTTTGTTGTCCATCTCTTTATTCATCTTAAAAGTGAAATGTCAGGTGTCTGTTCAGACACCTGATATTTCCCCAAAGCTCCCACTGGTTAAAAAGCAAAACAAAAACCCACACATGCATAACGTACACATGTGCACGACACACGTTATGCAAATTGCCCACTTAGAGTTATATGGTGATATATCGTCAGGTGATTGGACACTGGCCAGAGCAGTTTGGAGCCTATATAACTCCTCCCTTTACCACAGATCCTCAGTTTTTTTTTCCACTGTTTTTATGTGGCAGACATGTTTCATCTCTTCTCTGAGAGAAAGTTTTATTTTATACCTAATGTTGTCTTCAATCAAGTTTCCTGCAACTGCTCATGGCCTCCTTGGTGAGGATGCAGTTTCCGGATCAGCACCCCACAGCAGGAGCTTTGGGGGCCATACCCTGACCCCGCAAGGAGCATGTCAAAAGAAGTGTGGCTGGCCTGTAACATTGCTTTTAGCACTGGATCCTGTGTGGGCACACATCATGGCACAAATTGTGCGTTGGGTTAGTGAAGGGCCAGGACAGTGGTGTATCTGCGTTGGTGGGACCACTTATGGGGTATGTGCATCCAAAGTGAGTGACGCCAAGGAAGTATTCCTCGTTGAATAAAGAAGACATAGGAAGGTGGTGAGTCTCATCC